CCTCCTTTAATTTGCTGGTAAAGTGCTAATGAGAACCGACACAGCACATCATGCCGTTCTGCAAGTCAAGGTCTAATTCTCAATAACATAAAGGGCTAGCTTCACAGGGAATTCAAAATTGATACAGCTCTTGCGGGCCATGATCTAAGTGTGTAAAACCTCATTGAGACGAGCCTGCTGACGAGCCTATGTAAGCCCAACCTAAGTTTGGTATGTACGCGCTGTGTGCAACTAAGGTTGGGACAGACCCCATTGGATCTTGAACAAGCTATGGTCGCTGTGACCACCTCATGGCGTAAAGCCTGCTCGGCCTGCCCGTAGGCCGCCTACTCGGCTTCAATCACTCATCAAATCTTGGCGAAACTATGGCATAAGCCTCCTGCTGTCCGCTGTGGGCGCCTCCGTTCCCGCGCATGGGGAACATAGACAAACCCCCGTTCAACGGGGCAACAGGGGGCACTCGTCGGGCTCACGCTGACCTGCCATTAAAGCCAACCACACTCGAGATATTGCGTACTGAACTGAACGCCTCATGCCACACGCCCACCTAGGCCTTGAAAGCCTAAACTAGGCGTAAAGATGAGTAAAGTACGTAGTGAGGGTGCGAAGTCGACGAAAGGATGACGATGGAGCCCAGCCCTTCAAAGGAAAAGTGAAGCAAGCATCTTGTTAACATCACAACAGTGATATATTCAGGACACTGCAGAGAGCTTTGTTAAGTGGAGCTCTGCGGGCCTGCTCCACTCCCCCGCTACAAAATCGATCAATCAACAGATTTCCTGTGATTCCAAAAGGGTTTCACACACACACACTCTGACACTGGTTTTCAGTTAACTCAATTGCCACGATGGGAAGGAAGGCGGTGGAACAGTATGGCGAAAAGTCCGAAGTAATTGTAGGTGTTTGAACAAAGGCTGTTTCCCTTGACTGCGATGACAAAGCGGCTCAAGCTGCACCTTTGCTGGGGAGGAAATGGTTTGGGGAAAGTATCATGAACAGATTGGAACAGCGTGGGCAAAAGTTCAAAAAAAGTCGCAGGTACGCCAGACTGATCAGGTCTGGTATCGCGACGACATGGATGAGTCTTCGTTGGCTCGTGCCATCCATGCGTCCACGAGCCCCCTGCTTGTGAGAAAAGCGGGAAAGTGGTTGTAAACCCTTAGAAACAGGGTGTGACACACACACACACACACAACAAGCCGAAGTCGGCGCGGATGCAAAGCAGTGGAAAAACGGACCTTTTTCTCGAAAAGAGGTAAACATATGACATGAAAT